ATCGGCGCTAGCTCATCAAGTACTAGACGCAAATCGACGCTAGTCGACGCCAAAGACGGAAGTACGACGGTATACCAGGCTCCCATGATTTGCTACCTACCTTGCCTCCTTTGTCCCGTGAAGTAGGAAGGCGCTTGAAGCAGATTGGGATCTGGGAATCCACACATACTTACTGCCATCGACCAGCGTGCATCGGTACCCAAATCGACGATAATCGACGCTAGATCGACGCGATTCGACGCTCGCCGACGCTAGATCGGTGCTAGCTCATCAACTACTAGACGCTAATCGACGCTAGTCGACGCCAAAGACGGAATTACGAGGGTATGCCAGGCTCCCATGATTTGCTACCGACCCAGTCTCAGATGGACCCTTGAAGTAGGAAGGCGCTTGAAATGGATCAGGCCCTGGGAGTCCAGAAATACCTACTGCCAACGACCGGCGTGTACCGTATCCAATCGACGGTTACCGTCGGTAGATCGACGCTAATCGACGCTAAATCGGCACTGTCTCATCCATTACCAGACGCTCATCAACACCAAAGACGGCATTACAAGGGCATACCAGGCTCCCATGATTAGCTACCGACCTCTCCTCGACGCAGATCGATCCTCGAGGTAGGAAGGCCCTGGAAGCAGATTGGGACCCGAGAATCGAGAAATACACTGTGACAGCGACCGGCGTCTACCTTTCTTTCCTCCTTGGCCCGAGGCGGAGGAGTAGGAGGAGGAGGAGGAGTAGGAGGAGGAGGAGGAAGAGGAGGAGGAGGAGGACCTCCTCGTCCTCCCCTCCCCCCCCCTCCTGCACACATGGCAGTGGTGGCGGAACGCTGGCCCCTCAACCGCTGCCCCGCGGCGGCGAGCCTCGGCGGCTCGCCGCCGCGGCGACCGCTCCGCCGCGGGGGCGGCGGCGGCGGGCGGTCCGCAGCGCTCCCCCGCCGCGGCCATCGCGGGCGCGGCGCTGGCCGCCGACGGCGGCCCCGAGCCGCCCGAGGGGCGCGGCCAGGCCCCGAGGGGGCCGCGCTGTGGGCCCGCGCGGTGGCAGCTCGGGCAGCTCGGGGGAGCCCGCCACGCCAGCCCGTCGGCTCCTGCGAGTCGGCGCGGCTCGAGGGCCGAGGACCGAGGGCCGAAGGCCGAGGGCCGAGGACCGAGGGCCGTGGGCTCGATCGAGGGCCGAGGCTCGAGATCCAGGACCGGGGGTCGAGGGCCGATGGGCTCGATCGAGGGTCGGGGCTCGAGACCCAGGCTCGGAGGTCGAGGGCCGATGGAGTCGATCGGGGAGCGGGGCCGCCCCCGGGGGGGCCCGCAGGGGCCAGGCCGCCACTGCCGCGCGCCGAGCGCGCTCGCCAGGTCCCGGGCCCTGGGCAGGGGCCGCTTGGGGCTATCTTTCGAATCGGTTTCGTTTGGGGCTCCTCCTCCTCCTCCTCCTCCTCCTCCTCCTCCTCCTCCTCCTCCTCCTCCACCTCCTCCCCCTCCTCCCTTCCTCCTCCTCCTCCTACTCTCCTCCCTCCTCCTCCTCCTCCTCCTCCTCCTCCTCCTCCTCTCCTCCCTCCTCCCTCTCTTCCTCCTCCTCCTCCTCCTCCTCCCTCCTCCTCTCCTCCCTCTTCTCCTCCCCTCCTCCTCCTCCTCCTCCTCTCCTCCTCCTCCTCCTCCTCCTCCTCCTCCTACTCTTCCTCCTCCTACTATTCCTCCTCCTCCTCCTCCACCTGCTCCTCCTCCTCCTCCTCCTCCTCCTCCTCCTCCTCATCCTTCTCCTCCACATCCTCCTCGTCCTTCTTCTCCTGACAGCGACCCGCGCGGTAAGGATGCAAGGGCCTTGCAGGGCCACGTTGGCGTTTTTCGAACCCCCCTGGATACCGAGAGTCGCTGAGGATGGGCCGAAGGGGCAAGGATGCAAGGGTACCCTTGGGAAGGATGTCCATCCTTTCCATGCGGGTCGACCGTTCGGAATTGATTCACACCAGAATCTGCTTGCCCCGTTGAGTATACGACAACTGTCCAGAATGTTCGTAGATCTGCCAGCATGTACTATTTGTTTTCGCGGTTTCGATGGCAATTGCAATGTTGGGGCAAGTCAAACCTGCAGTCGATCCCCTACTCGAACATTGCACGCCTCGGAGCCGTTTGGACGGTCTTTGGGAGCACCCCTGGAGTGCCTTGGGGCTTCGGACAGTCTTGGGGTCCTCTTCCGCTGTCGGGGTTATAGAGCCATCTTCTGGCGATCTGGAGAAATGTGTCGGCTCCTCAGAGCGGTCATGCGGTCCAGGGCAATTTTTCCTCTGGGTCCAGCTGGCGCTCTCCTGCGGGGCTTCGGGGGGCCTTTGGGGAAACTCTTCGGGGCCTCTTGGGAATTCTCGGGGCCCTCGTTGACTGTCTGGGCACTCTCTCGGGCAATTCTCGGGCTCCCTCGGGTCCTCTTGGAACCGATCCGACCCGAGCGGTGCCGCAAGACGACGGGGTCCTGGAAAGCCCCGACCGCGTGCTCTCAGGGGGGATGCAGCTTCCGTGACGAACCAGCAACACACACCCATATCCATAATGGGGTCGGAGAGGGCTATGGGTGCGTGTTGTCGGATGGGGGTCCCCGCTCGAAAGGGAGCGTTCCCCAGGGTCCGACAACCCGCACCCATACCCATAGCCAGTCCTCCTCTCAACGACCCCCCTATGGGTATGGGTGTGTGTTGCTCGTTCGTCATTCCGCCGCTGCGTCGGCCCTCTCGGGGGAGCTCAAGCTGCCCCGAGGCGCAGCACGCCACCCGCCACACGCCGCGCGACGTGCTGACACGGAGCGCAGCACGTGGACTGACGCGCGCACGCTCGGAGCGACACGCTCGCCGAAGCGTGGACCGACACGTGCAGAAACCTTAGTGGGCCCTGGAAACGACAGGGCCGTTTTTGTTACCGGTTCCGTTTTGCCGTTTTTGTTGCCGGTTCCGTCGCCGTTCTTTGACGGGTTCCCGCCCCGGTTCCAGTCCTGGAGCCGTTCTTGTTGCCGTTTCAGGTCGCCGTTTTCTTTTGCCGTTTCCATTTTCAAGGGACACTTTTTCGGAAACGGTGAACAAAACGGCCCTGCCCGTTTCCGGGGCCCACTGAGGCCGAGCCAGCCCGCAGCGAGTTGGCACGCACGTTTCGAACACGGTTCGTGTGCCGACTTCGGCGCTGGTTCCCTGGCCATCGCTCGGACGTCCACTCCCTGTGCTTTTTTTCGGCTTCGCGCGCGGCCTTTTCTTTTCGCCACATGATCCAGGATGCTCCTCGAGGGTCCTCGCCGAAGAAACCATGCACGCGTCCGGGCGATGCCAAGCTTCTGACACCGAGGCGATCGTTCAACCTTGCACGATCGCCCCTACGCGCTACGCGGCCCCCAGGGATGGCCCGAAGGGGCCTTCCAAGGCCACCCCCTTGCTCCCAGAGATCAATCGGTTCACCCTGGTTGCCCGCGTTTCCCTAGATGTGTTTTTTCGCCAGTTTTCCCGTCAGCTCTCATGGGCAGGGCTTGTACGATCGGAAGTTTCCGAAGCGTCAGATCGCTCAATCTCGGCCGGTTCTGGATCGCGCTGGCGGCGCTCCACGCCGAGCGCGGGCGGCCGGGACGCGGCCTGTCGACACGGCGCGAACCTGCCGTGCGCGTTGCGACTGGACGCGGCCGCAGCAGGGCAGCTGTGCTCAGGACAGGCGTGTCCTCCTGCGGGCAAAGTTCGGCCGTTCTCGGACTCCAGGGGCCCTCGCCGGGCCTCGGGGGCGTCACACAACGACCCATAGGACGAAAAGCCGGCCCCAGAGAAGTGGTGCAGAAAACTGGAGCGGCGGGATTTTCGCCGTTCTCGGCCTCCGGGGGCCCTCGCTGAGCCTCGGGAGCGTCACAGAACGACCCAGGACGAACAAACATCACCGGGAAGTGCTCCCGACCTCCGGGGCCCACGCATCGAAAAAGTGGGAGCGGCCGGATCTCTGGGAGGGAGACGGCCTCTTCAAAAGGTTCGGAAGTCCCCTCGGGCCTTCTGAGCAGACCTCCGGGGCCCACGCATCGAAAAAATGGGAGCGGCCGGATGTCTGGGGGGGTGACGGAATTTTCAGAAGGTCCGGAAGTCCCCTCGGGCCTTCTGAGAAGTGTTCTGCAAGCCTTCCTCGAAGACAGAATAACAAGAACTTGTCTCAGACGGCGCGCTGGGGGCTCCGGAGGAGCTCCGCGGCCTGCTGACAGAGCCTTCTCCTTCTCACTTCCCCCCTCGGTCGCCGCCGCCGACTCCCTGTGGCACCAGGGGCCCCCAACTTCGCGCCTCGCGCTGCGCGAAGCGCGCAGTGCGAATAACTTCGCGCTCTCGAGCCGCCTCCCAGGGGAGGAGAGGAGGATGAGGAGGAAGCGGAGCCGAACCGCGAAGCGCGAAGCGCGAAAAACTTCGCGCCCTCGAGGGCGCCCCTTGGGCGAATCACCAGGGGGCGGGGTGCCGACCCCCCTCTCCCAGGCTTCCTGGGAGGATTTGGTTCTCGGATGCACCAGACATTTGGGAACCAGCCTTCGGTCGGGCATGTCCCACTACAGGCAGTTTTTGGACGAACAGTGAAACACATTCCAGAAATATTCACAACATGGGAGAGAAAAACAAACTTGAAAGATCGTCCCCAGACTATTTGTTGACTATGTTTGTATCTTCCTCCTGTAGAGGGACAGGCCCGACAAAAGACCAGCCCTGGATATACGGGGGGGGGCGTCCGTCCTCGATAGGGGTGCGTACGAGTAGCCCCCTTGGGGTGCATCCCGGGATTGGCCTCCTTTTCTGAGCGGCTTCGTTTCTCGTCGAAGCGTCGGGGGCTGGGGGAGAAACATCGCCTGCGAGCGAAGTGCGAGGCGATGCTTGACATGGTCATGCAAAGGTAAGCGAGGGCAAACGCGGGCAGAACGTGCCCCCCATGCGGCATGTCCCTCAGGGGGCAAGAGAGCACGGGCGCGGAGCAAACATCAGTACCCGCCAGAACGAAGGCTGGACCTGCATTCTTGTTGCCTCTCATCTTCCAGGTTCGTCCAAAGATTCCATGTCCGTCCCAAGAGCAACCTCTCAGGCCTGTTCGCGCCTGGAGGATGGCTGAGATTCGCCCCGAATTCGACTCGGGCGGTGAAACTCATTGGTCACGATTGGCCTGAACCACGGCCGCTAAGCGCGGCCGAAGATAGAAAAACGCTGGGCAGACCACTCAACGACCCTTGAGTTTCAAAGATCCGATGCGTTGTTTTTTCGATACGGGCCCCCCGCCAGTCTCGACCTTCTTCCCAAGGCCCGCTTCGCATCCCGAGTCGTCTTTTCTCGGGCCCGGCGAGGGCCCCCGAAGGCCGAATACGATGGGAAACCTTCGCACCGAGCTTTTTCAATGCGTCGGAGGCCTGGGACCCCATGGAAGGGACTCCGTGGGCAACGGGGCAACTACCAGCCAGCCCCAGCGACCACCCTGTGCGGGTGGGACTCTGCGTGCAACCGCTGGCCAAGCAATGGAGGCCCGACCACAAGAAACCTCCCGCCAGAGACCCCACCCTGAGACCCCAGGACGTCCATTGATCCTTGCCAGGACGCCCGTTGATCCCTGGTGTTCAGTCGGGCCTGTCCCCCTATACGGGGATTTTGAGCGAAAAATTAAAAATACATAGCACCCCGTAATTGCGGATAAGAGTGAAAGGGGCGGGCGCGGGCGACGCGGACGTCGTCGAGCCGGCGGACCTCGTGGCCCCCACCTTCCGTGTCGATGGCGCTCTCCTCCTCCTCCTCCTCGTCCTCCTCCTCCTCCTCCTCCTCCTCTTCCTCGTCCTCGTCCTCGTCCTCGTCGTCATCGTCATCCTCCTCCTCCACCTCGTCCTCCTCTTCTTCCTCGTCCTCCCTCTCCCCCCCTCGTCCTTCCATCATCGTCCTCCCATTGTCGTCCACCCCCTCATCGGCCTCCATCATCGTCCTCCCATTGTCGTCCATCATCATCATCCTCCCCCTCCTCCCCCTCCTCGTCCTCCTCCTCCCCCTCCTCCCCCTCCTCGTCCTCCTGCTGCTCCTCCTCCTCCTCTTTCTCCACATTCTCCTTACATCCTCTCTTCTTTCGCGTCCTCCTCGTCCCCTGTTTACTCCTCCTGCCTCCCCCTCCTTTCCCAAGATAACGGCAACGCAATCCTTTTTTCCACTTTATGCTCCCCGACTTCTCTGATCAAGGCAACTCGCCAGGGCAAAGTTGCTGGACGGGCTGGTGTGGATGCGCGGGGCTTGAAGAGGTCGTTGCGGGCGCAGACGGCATGCAAAAATCCGCCGCCGCGCTTGTGCGGCATTGGTTTGTTCAGTGAACGTGGTTTGGGTCGCGGGTGGGTCGCGGGCTCTCCACCTCCACCTGGAAGGAATGCAAAAGCAGCCCGCCGCAGGCGCCGAGCAAAGTGGTTTGTACACTGTACCTGGAATGGGTCGCGGGTGGGCCTCGGGTTCTCCACCGGGGACGAATGCAAAAGATGCCCGCCGCAGGCGCCGAAAAAATTGGTATGTACCCTGATCGCGGTCGCGGGTGGGCTTCGGGCTCTCCACCTGAAACGAATGCAAAAGATGCCCGCCGCAAGCGCCGAAACATGTGGTTTGTACCCTGAACGCGGTTTGGGTCGCGGGGTGGTCGCGAGTTGGTCGCGGGGGTGGGTCGCGGGCTCTCCACCTGGAAGGAATGCAAAAAAGCCCGCCGCAGGCGCCGAAAATGGTAGTTTGTACCTTGAACGTGGTTTCGGTCGAAGGTGGGTCGCGGGTGGGTCGCGGGGTGGGTCGCGGGTGGGTCGCGGGTGGGCCGCGGGGTGGGTCGCGGGGTGGGTCGCGGGTGGGTCGCGGGGTGGGCCGCGGGTGGGTCGCGGGGTGGGTCGCGGGGTGGGTCGCGGGTGGGTCGCGGGGCGGGTTGCGGGTGGGACGACGACAACAAACAACAACAAACAACAACAAACAACAACAAACAACAACAAACAACAACAAACAGAATCCGCACCGCGAAATCCCACTTCAGCCACGCACCCAGGGACAGTGAATGACCGTTCGGCCCCCTCACTCTGACTGAAAAATACTCCCAAAATGCTACAACATACTCAAACAATAATCCCCTGAGTATTTTTTGACTATTTTTGAGCATTCCTCCTGTAGAGGGACAGGCCCGACTTAACCCTGGTGTGAGAACGTCATGCTCTCCACCGCAAGGCCCTCGAAACCCCCCAAAACCTGGGGGCACCCTGGAGGCAAGCAGGGTGCTTCTCGGCACGAGGCCTCCAAGGTGCCCCTGCGACGCGAGCAAGGACCGACCGTCCCGGCATGTCTATAGGCCTGCCACATATCGGGGAAACGTAAGACCCGGGTACGGGGGACTCGGAAATCCCCGACGAGGTCGTCAAAAAAATGACGAGGCCGAGCCTGCATTTTGACGAGGCCTCCCGCTGCAAACATCCCACGAAACTCCTCCTCGTCAAAATCCGAGTCGCGGTCGTCAAAAAACGATGGCGAACCCGAGTCCCGGCAAACCCGGGTCTTACGCTCCCCCGAACATAATGTTCCCAGATCCCGAGCAGGTGCTAAGAACAAAGGCATCGTTCTTAGAACATAAGCCCGACGTGCCCCAAAAAAGACAGACTCAGCCAGAAATGTTCTAGGAGCATGGTCGTGCAAACCACAGGAGGTTCTTAGAACACTCTCTGGTGGGCCTACAGGCGAGCTGGGACGCTTCGCCACTGCTTCAGCAACAGCCCTGTGCGCGCAACCCTGTCATGGTAGGGGCCCGCCAGGCGGGGATCCTGTGGCGAGACCCCGTGGGGGCGGGCTCGCCCCCGTGGGGGCGGGCTCGCCTGGGCAGCCACCGGCCGCCCAGCGTGACCTCTCAATGGGGCCCGACACTGCCGGTGGGATCCCAGGGGTGGACCCCCACGAGATGGGGCAATTTTCTACCACCACTGCCATAGGTAGGAGGGGGAGGAGGAGGAGGAGGAGGAGGAGGAGGAGGAGGAGGAGGAGGAGGAGGAGGAGGAGGAGGAGGAGGAGGACCTCCTCATCCTCCCTTCTCCTCCGCCTGACCGATGGTAGTGATGGTGGACAATCAGCCCATCACTATAAGCAACCACTGACCATCCCTGGGACCACCCCATGGGCAGGACCCCGCAGGGGGGGCCCAATGGCCAACTGCCAGACCCCAACAAACAAACACAACGCCAGACAAGCCGTGCAAGAAGCCGGGGGTGCGAGCACGACTGGGGGGATGCCAAATGACTGGGTGCTGTGGAGACCAGAGCTTCACACTCGCTCGGTCTCCCAGGATCCCAATGGAAACACAGCCCAGAATCGCGTCGACAATGGTGGCTGGCACCAGGGCCATGTTTTCGGAAACCGCCGGACGTGTCTATCAACCATCTCTTCGGACCTGTGAAATAAGACCCTCGACAAAAGAAGGCGAATGGGAACCCCATCGCGGAAAAGCTCTGTCCAGCTGCTCTGTCAGCAAGCGGCGATAGCTGCTACAACTAAAAGTAAGCCGTGACCTGCTACTAGGATCAACAGCGATTCGCGAGCTTGTCATGGTCGCTATTTTCGCACACTCGTGCCCCCGAGCCTGAACCTTCGCATCAATCTCCATAGGCAACGTCATGCCGCAGAGCAGTCGGCAGCACTTCAAGCGTAATGGCAACCACAAGTCTAACATATGCGGGGAGGCGCCGTCCATGATCAAATTCTCAGCCGAAGAGAATCTACAAAGTTGCGTCTCGAATGCTGAGCAGTGCCCTGTTGGCAAATCCAAGCAGGACGTTGCACTGGGCGCGCCGATTGACCACTTACAAGGGAACCATGCCACCATGCAGAGGGCGCGGCAGGACCAGCTGCGGAGCGGAGGAAGGAAGCTGGACGTGGGCGGAGGCCCCGCTGACTGCCTGACACGCTCCGCGCGAGCGGCTGAGGAGACTGCGCTTCCCCTCAGCAGCACACCCAGCTGGAGCCTGCGCACTCCACCTTCAATTCGAACACCGTCTCGGGAAAGGTACGCCGCTCGCCCCCTGGCGCGCCGGCGCGCAGCGCCTGAGCATTTTCTTAGGGTGGAGGGCTCAGGGAGAAATCGATGTGGGCTTTTGCAACTCGACAATCAATCCGTCTTGTGATTCACCTTTTGCAGACGCAAGCCTCGAACAACAATCGAAACGGCATTTCAGATTTCACCCTTTGCCCTCCACCCAAAGAAGATGCGCGCAGCGCCTCCAGCTCGTCCAGGGCGTCGAAGATGGCCTCCTGCGCGCACGCCAGCACGTGGTCCTGCAGGTAGGCGTCTCGCTCGTGCACGCCCAGCCGCACGCACCAGCCGCCCGCGGCCCCGGCGGAAATGGCGACCCCGACAACGAACACGTTCTTCTGCAGGACACTCCTTATGATGGGCCTGTTTTCCAACACCACCACCATAAGTTGGAGAGGGGGAAGGTGGAGGACGAGGAAGGGGAGGACGAGGAAGGCAGGAGGCGGAGGAGGAGGAGGAGGGGGGGGACCCCCTCCCCCTCCAACTTATGGTGGTGGTGGTGGTGGAAAACAAACCCATCACCTCATGTACTGCAGCAGCGCGAAGCCGAAGTTGGGGGCGCCGTGCGGCGGGCTCGGCGCGGGAAGCGCCGTCGCCTCTGGCTTGAAGGGGACGGGATTCTGGAGGACTTGGCACGCCCAGAACGTGCACAATTCCCAGCAGCGAATGTTGTGTAAAACCGACAGCGGCCGCTGTTGAGCAGGCGGCCCTCTGTCTCAAGTTGACAACGTCCGAGGCGACACCGACAGCGACCCCAGTCCAAAATGAGCAACAACTGCGGTCACGGACACCCGGGCGTTCCTTGGGACTAGCTCATCTTCCGCCCGAATCGTTTCTCGAGAGCCCCTGGGTCCGGGAAGCAACCCCTGCGGGGGCGAAAACAGCGAAACACCTTTCGAGTAGGAGATCCACTACATCGACGAACCCCAAAAGGTATTTTGTTTGTCGAACCCACGACACATATCTACAATGCTGGCACATATGCGAACATGTTATGAATCCCACTAACCCTCTGGGCGTAAGTGGTCTAACGACATTATTTCTTCCTTTTTCCCAAATTCCCCTTTTCCCCTTCGGGAAAAAAGGTTTACCACTGTTCCCTATTAGTATACACCCCCTCCCCCAAGCGACCGGGAGCCAACCAGGAACAATGCGGGCACCCCACCACCATCCTTTGTACAAAAAATGCAAACACACACAATCTGCCTCCAAATTTTGAGCATGCGCAGCGAACCCGATGCGGCATCCCCCCACCATCCCTGTCAAACACAATATAGAATACACTTGGCGGCGACGGCGGCGGCTGCGGCGGCTGCGGCGGGGGTAGCGGCTGCGGCGGCTGCGGCGGTGGTGGCGGCGGCGGTGGCGGCGGCGGCGGCGAAGGCGGCGGCGGCGGCGACGGAGGCGGTGGCGGCGGCGGCGGCAACGCTGGCGGCGATGCGGCCTCCCCCCACCATCCCTGTCAAAACAAACAATACACAGTACACTCGGCGGCGGCTGCGGCGGCTGCGGCGGCTGCGGCGGTGGCAGCGGCGGCGGCGGCGGCGGCGGCGGGGGCCGCGGCGGCGCTGCGGCGGCGGCGGCGGTGGCGGCGGCGGCGACGGCAGCGGTGGCGGCAGCGGCTGCGGCGGCAGCGGCTGCGGCTGCGGCGGTTCGGCAGCGGGGGCAGCTGCGGCGGCGGCGGCGGCGGGCGGCGCGGCGGCGGCGGCGGACAGTGGTGGCGGCGGCGCGGCGGCGGCGGCGGGCTGCAGCGGCGGCAGCGGCGGAAGCGGCGGCGGCGGAGGCGGATTCGCCCCCAATCGGCGCCCTTCCAAAGACGACTGCTGAATCTGCTGCGGCTCGGGACACACTCGGGTGCTACGTATGTGTTGGGAGGGCGGGTGGGAGTGAGCGAGACGGCTTGCGGGCGGGGAGGGGGTCTTGATCACTGTTCCCTATCAATATACACCCCCGCCCCCAGGCGACTGGGAGCCAACCAAGGTCAATGCGGGAACACCCCCACCATCCCTTGAACAAAAAACACTTCAAACACACACTCGGCCTCCAAATTCTGAGCATGCGCAGCGAACCCGATGCGGCATCCCCCCACCATCCCTGTCAACAAAAACAATATAGAGTACACTTGGCGGTGGCGGCTGCGGCGGTGGCTTCGGCGGGGGCAGCGGCTGCGGCGGCTGCGGCGGTGGCGGCGGCGGTGGCGGCGGCGGCGGCGGCGGCGGCGGTGGCGGCGGCGGCAGCGGCGGCGGCAGCGGCTGCGGCGGCGGCGATTCGGAAGCGGCGGCGGTGGCGGCCGCGGCGGCAGCGGGCGGCGGCGGCGGCAGGCGGCGGCGGCGGCAGGCGGCGGCGGCGGAGGCGCCGGCGGCGGCGGATTCGCCACCAATAGGTGCCCATCCAAAGACGACTGCTGAATATGCTGCGGCTCGGGCCAGGCTCGGGTGCTACGTATGTGTTGGGAGGGCGGGTGGGAGTGAGCGAGACGGGCTGCGGGCGGGGAGGGGGTCTTGACCCCGGCCCCTACCCCCTCCCCTGGACTTTTTGGGGCGTGTCGCTGGAGGTCCGAGGGCCCTGTTTCGCTCAATATGGCTCCAATAGGGCCTCCGACGCTCCAAGATGGCCTCCAAGACGCCTCAAGATAACCGAAGTTGGTCCAATACAGCTTCCTACATGCTTCCAAGAGGCCCCAAGATGGCCACAAGACGGTTTCCAGTGCTCTCGCAGATCCTTCAGGACCCCTCCAAGAGCCCAAATCTCTCAACAACCTAAAGAAAAGTGAAGAAGTGAAGATGTTCGTCATCTCGCCGTTTCGCTTCCGATGCGCATTGGGGGCCTCAATCTGGCCCCAAGATGGCCCAAGAAGGCCCCAAGAGGGGCCCAAGATGCCCCTAAGACGACCCCAAGAACGCCCAAGAACGCCACAAGAGGTCTCCAAGAGCGCCCCAAGAGGCGGTTTTCAGGGCCCCCGGGGGGGACCCAGATCGGGAGCCCCCCGAGATGACCTCCAAGATGGCTCTGATAGCCCAAGCTGGCTCAAGAAGGCTCCCAAGATGCTCCAAACGGCCCCAAGTCCGCTCCAAGAGCGTCCAAGCGCGTTCCAAGAGAGCCTCAAGAAGCGGCTTGCGGGCTCCTGAGGGGGGGCTGAGTTGGAGACCCCCCATCGTGTAATCGATGGCCTCCAAGATGATCCCAAGAAGCCTTCCAGGGTCTCCAAGAGGGTTCCAAGAGGGCCAAAAAAACTCCCAGAGAGCACCAGTAGCAGCAGCAGCAGCAGCAGCCGCAAGAATAGCTCTAGATGGTTCCATGAGTCCTCGTCCGCGTCGTCCTCATCCTAGTCCTCGTCCTCCTTGTCCTCGTCTTTAACCGCGTCCCTGTCCTTCTCGTCCTCCTCGTCCTCACCTTCCTCCTCCTCCTCCTCTTCCCCTCGCCCCTGCGCGGCCCCCAGGGATGGCCCCTTGCTCCCAGAGATCTCTCGGTTCACCCTGGTTGCTCGTTTTGTTTCCCTAGATGTGTCTTGTCGCCCCTTTTCCTGTCAGCTCTCATGGGCAGGGCTTCTGCGCGTGAAGAATGTCTAGCAGATCCCACGATCATTTTTATGCTGGGGTCAGTCAATTCTGTAGTCGATCCTCCACTCGAACCCGAGGCCCTAGGACTCCTGAGCGAAACTTGATGGGGGGACGGGCTCAGGGTGGGGAAGCAACGACCTGGCACATTCCAGAAGCCCTGGGGAAACATCGTCCAAAGGAAACATCGCCTTGGAGGTGCCTCTCTTACTTCCGCCGTCTTCCGCCGGCCTTCCGCCGGACTCCGCCAGCGGAGGCGGCCTCGTTTTACTTCCGCCGCCCTTCCGCCGAGGACGAGATGCCAACTCCACCGATCCGCGAAGGCGAGGCCCTTTGTCTGGAACGCTCCGCCTGGGGTTGGCGATCGGTCGGCGACAGCGACTCCGCACGGTCTTGCTGAGGGTGGGGCCGTCTGGCCCCCCATGGGCGATCCCTGGGCACGGTTGTGGGGCTTGATGCGTCCCCCATGGCGCATATCCCCATATCCCCCCTACCGGTACGGTTGCCCCTGGTGAGGCCTCCTTCTTCCAGAATCACGTGTCGCTAGACTTCGGTCGGGCATATCCTCCTACAGGCGGATCTGGAAAGAGTAAAACCAATAGCCGAAAAGTGTTCAAACATAGCCCACAAACACAATCGAGACATCGTCACCAGACAATGTTGGGACTACTCTGGAAGAGTCCGCCTGTAGAGGGATAGGCCCAACTGAACGCTAGAGTAGGGGCCCGACCACAAGAAACCTTCCACAAGAAACCCGACCCTGAGACCCCATGGTGCGCATTGATCTTAGGTGTGGGAACGTCACGCTTCCCATCGCAAAACCATCGAAACCTAAGAACCCCAGGGCACCCTGGAGGCAGGTAGGCTGCTTCTTGGCATGGGTCTCCACTGCAGAGGGCTCGAATGGGAGCAAAACGAGGGACGGAAGAGTCCCCACATTGGGGGGAGGGCGGGGGGGAACCCGAGACCGCCCAGATGAGAAGCGGTCCGGCAACCTTTCTGCAAGATGCTTCCTCAACCTCGATCCACGCATCGCGCTCTCGTGTTTTGTCCAGGCGGCCACGATCCCTTCTCAAAAACACACCGAAGTCGAGGAGAGAAGTTGCCGTGCTCGGAAGAGGGGTGTGGGAGGATGATGGGTATTAGCAGCAGCGCCCGGATGTACGAGACTCTCGGGTGCCTGCGGGTCATGATATCAGTAGGTCGGGCCTGTCCTTCGACAGGTGGATTTCGGACGAAAGGCAACCTGATATTGCCACGGACCCCGACCTTGGAGAACAAGTGGGCTCAGCACGCGACTAGGCGAGTTATGAGGTGAGCTCAGCACGGACGAGTCCATGCGAGCCACATGAGGGGGAGGGGGGGAGCTCAGCACACGACCATGCGAGTCACGAGGTGAGCCCAGCACGTTTCCATGCGAGCCACAGGGAAGGGAGGGGGTGCGGTTGCATATGACGGGCGAGAAAATTGAGTTTGGAGGATCTGGGGGCTCCTGGGGGCCGTCGGGTTTGGTTGGAGGTTGTGTCGGGGATGTGTCTGGCTGTATGAGGACTGGATTGGACAACTTGCGGCGGTCGGGGGCCGCATGCGGCCGTATTGAAGCCTCCTGGAGGCTTCTTGCAGGGCTTTCTGGTAATACGAAAAATCGTTTGGGGCTTCTCCGCGACAGCTGTCCTCAGGGAAAGGCGGCCAGAAAAACAACGGTGCGTCTTGGAGGTGAGCTCAGACCGCGACCATGCGAGCCACGAGGTGAGCTCGGCACGTTTCCATGCGAGCCAAGGAAGGAAGGCCAGGGTGCGCATTACATTGGTTCCCGTGTGGTCCGACTGGCGCTGTGCTGCTTAACGCGCATTACATTGGTTCCCGTGTTGTCCGTTTGACGCCGTGACGCTTTGTCGCGGCGCCTCCAGCCGTCGTGGGGCCCTCTTGGGGCTGTCCTGAGGCCCTGTTGGGTGCTTCTGGGGGCTTGCTGAAGACCTCGTAAGGTGAGCTCAAGAATTTTCCGTTCGAGCCAAGAAGTCCTGGGGCTGTCCGTTTGGTGTTGTGACGCTTAGGGGCCTCTTGGGGCCTCCTCAAGTCCTTCAGCCGTCCTGGGGCCCTCCTGAGGGAGTCCCGGGGCTGTCCGTTTGTCGCTCTGACGCTTTGTCGAGGCGCTTCCAGCAGTCCTGAGATCATCGGGCAGTCCTGGGGCTCTCTTGGGGGCTTGTCGGGGCTTTCCGGAGGCGTCTTGAGTTCTTGAGGCCTCTTGGGATCTGCTTGGGCGTCACTTGGGGTTTCATCAGGTTCCCGTGTCGTCCGTTTGACGCTGTGAGGCTTTGTCGAGGCGCCTCCAGCCGTCCTGGGGCTCTCTTGGGGCAGTGCTCGGCCCATCTTGGGCGCTTCTGGGGGTTTGCTGGAAGCCTCTGGAGGGTTCTCTGGGGCCTCCTGGGGCCTCTGCACGGGTTATTGGGGCCTCTTAGGGGCTTCTTGGGGACCTCTGGGGGCCTCAGGAGGGGTCACTGGGGCGGAGAACCCGAATAATCGGCCCCTGCCTCCGCTCAAGGGGTTCTCTTGGGGCGTGCATGGTGCGCTTGTGAGGCTGTCTTGGAGGCCCCTTGGGTCGTCTTGAGGACGTCTTGGGCCGTCTTGGGTCGGCGGGAAGCCGAACAGGCGAAAACCAAACAAACTCTCAAAAACCTAAGGACAACTAATGATTTATATGTTTGGGGCTCTCCTGGAAAGCCTCTTGGGGGCCTCTCGGGGCGTCTTTTGAACTGCCTCGGACATCGGGGCGCTATATTGGGCGTCTCTGGGGGCTCCTGCAGGGGTCACTGGGGCGGACAACCCGAAAAATCTACCCCTGCAACCGCTCGGGGTGCTCTCTTGGGGCGTGCCTGGAACACTTGTGAGGCCGTCTTGGAAGCCTGTAGGGTCGTCTTGAGGGCGTCTTGGGCCGTCTGAGCGCTCCCTTGGGGGTCTCTGAGACTGTCTTGGGGCGTTATTTGGGGCACCTTGGGCCGTCTTGGATCAGCGGGAAACCGAACAGGCGAAACCCCAAAAAACGTCACAAACCGAAGGCAACCTAAAGATGTTTCACGTTTCGGGCTCTCCTGGAAAGCCTCTTGGGGGCGTCTCGGAGCGTCTTTTGGGCTCCCTGGACGTCGGGACGCCATCTTGGGCGTCTCTGGGGGCTTCTGCAGGGGTCACTGGGGCGGAGAACCCGAAAAATCTACCCCTGCCTCCGCTCCGGGGGCTCTCTTGGGGCGTGCCTGGAACACTTGTGATGCCCTCTTGGAGGCCTCTTGGGTCGTCTTGGGGACGTCTTGGGCCGTCTGAGCGCTCTCTTGGGGGGTCTCTGAGACTGTCTTGGGGCGTTCTTTGGGGCATCTTGGGCCGTCTTGGATCGGCGGGAAGCCGAACAGGCGAAAACCAAAAAAACCTTCAAACACCGAAGGCAACCTAAAGATGTTTTACGTTTCGGGCTCTCCTGGAAAGCCTCTTGGGGGCGCCTCGGGCCGTCTTTTGGGCTCCTTGGACGTCGGAACGCCATAGTGGGCGTCCCTGGGGGCTTCTGGAGAGGTCATTGGGGCGGAGAACCCGGAAATCGGCCCCTGCCTCCGCTCCGGGGGCTCTCTTGGGGCGTGCCTGGAACACTTGTGAGGCCGTCTTGGAGGCCTCTTGGGTCGTCTTGGGGCCGTCTTGGGCCGTCTGAGCGCTCTCTTGGGGGTTCTGAGGTTGTCTTGGGGCGTTCTTTGGGACCTCTGGGACCGTCTTGGAGCGGCGGGAAGCCGAAAATGCGAAAACCAAAAAAAACATCAATAACAAAAGGAAAACTAACGATTTGTTATGTTTCGCGCTCTCCTGGAAAGCTTCTTGGGGGCCTCTCGGGGCGTCTTTTGAGCTTCTTGGGACGTCGGGACGCCATATTGGGCGTCTTGGGCCGATCTTTCGGCCACTCGAGGCCTTCTTGAACCATCTTGTGGACCATCTTGGGGTCGTCCGTGCCTCTCGGAAGCGCGTCTGCGGAAATGGGGCCGTGTCCTGCCGTCTTCTGCCGTCTTCCGCCGGCGTTCCGCCCGTGGCCGGGGCCATCTCCCAGGGGGTCCCCCCCCAGACCCCTCAAGGGGAACACACAACAGGAACCCCTCCGCCAGGTCGGGAAAAAAGACGCCGCAACTCTTCAAAAATAGCCAAACAATATTTGAAACGTCGTCCGTACTATATTTTCATATTTGGAATCTTCCTCCTGTGCAGAGAGATGCCCGACTTAATGATATCCTCATTTCTCCCAGCCCCATCCTCCAAACCCGATAGATGTCTTCCTGACAGGGGCACATGGCCGTGCTCTCACTTTGTCCCGGCTGCATTCTTCCCAGGAGCCAAAAGGAATACACGATAGGTGTGAACGATTTCACTGGCCTACCTCCAGCTCCTCGACCCTATATTAGGTGCGTTGCTGGGGCACGGCAGGCTCGTGTCGTGCCGACTTCGGCGTTGGCTTCTTGCACCGCGGGGATCGTTCCACCTTGAACAATCGGCCGTTTCCGCAACGCCAGATCATTCAACATCGACCGATGCTGGGTCGCCGGCGGCGTTTCAAATGGAACGCTGGCAGTGGTCGCCGCCGATCGACACGAGGCGAACCTGCCGCCATCCCAGACCCCCGACGTCGTGATTTTTTTTCATGTCGCGCCCCCCAGAAGTCCGGACCCACTCCCAGGACCCGTTTCTCATCCTGAGTCACTGTTGGAGGCTCCCGAGGCCCAGTGAGGGCCCCTGGTGGAAGCCGAAAATTGCGAAAAACCTCCCGTCGTGAATTTTTCACACCGCGAGGGGGTCTTAGGATCTTCATGGCGACGCCTCCTCGCGCGGCGACGCGGCCCCAGTGGACTCCGTCGGCGTCGGCGTGGTGTCGCCCGCGGCCGACTGCCCTTCGCACGCCCTGCTGCTCGGCAACGTGCACCCCGGGCCCGCCCGTGGCGCGGCGGGCCTTTCGGGCGTTCCGCTATGGGGGGCGATCGCGTCGGCTCCTCCTCCTCCTCCTCCTCCTCCTTCTCCTCCTCCTGATCCTCCCCTGGGCCAGAGTGACCTCATTGGTGTGCGGCTTCAGGGGGCCGCGGGGGTGGCCCAATCGGAAGCTGCTCACCCGGGTCAATCCAAACCTGGGTCAGTCAGGCCTTGCAGGATCCTGCAATGTCCTGCGCGATCCTGCACCCAAGCCCTGGTCAATGCGATATCCTGGCTCTGCAGCATCCTGCAAGATCTGGCGCTCTGACTGCAAACCGTTTGCATTGACCCCTGTCTCTTGAGCCCCGAACTCCGCGCAGTCCAAGCTCGCTGACCAATGCAGAAGGGACCCCTGTGGCCCGCACCAGAGGTCACTCCGGCGAAGGGTCACTCGCATACGCGAAGCCGAAACGGAGGGCCAGGCCTCCGACGCATTGACACATGAGATGCGTCAGGTCTTCTTTGTGTCCAGTCTCTGAGAGGGCCCTCGCGGTTCATGGGACCGTCGGAACACTTGAATAGGGACCGACCGTCCCGGCATTCCTACAGGCAAAACACGAAGTGTTCTCAGAATCCCAACATGTTCGAAGAGCACAAGCCATGGTTCAATATGTATTGTAACAACACGGTCTCAGCCAGAAGTGTTCTGATACTATTTTGTGCAGACCACGAAAGGATCTCAGCACAGTCCTTGGTGGGGCCAATGGACAAACCAGAGCGCTTCGCCACTGCTCGGAGAAACGCGCGGGATGAAATCTAGTCCTGGGAAACGATCGGGACTTCCGGTGGACCCGCGTGGAACAGGTCAGTGCGTCGGATCCCTGAGGGTGGGGGACCTCGCGGGGCGCAGGAAGGGGGCCCGTCAGAAGCCCTGTGAGGGTTGCCCCTGGGCGGCACCTTATAGGGGCACGCGAGGTGTTTCTCTCGTTCGCCCCACCCCGAGCTCGGACGCAGCAAGAAACATTGCAACCTCGTAAAGGATCACGCCCGGAGCTCCTGACCTGAAGTCGGGCGTGCCACCGTACAGGCGGATTTTGAACGAAAAGTAAACCTGATATTGCCACGAACCCCGACCTTGGAGGACAAGTGGGTGTGACTTGCGAGAAAGGGAGCAGCAAAGAAGAGGATGCTTATAGAGCGCATTACGTGGGTTCCCGTGTTGTCCGTTTGACGCTGTGACGCTTTGGTGGGCCGTCTCCAGCCATCCTGGGGCCCTCTTGGGGCAGTCTTGGAGGCTGTCTTGGGGCGATCTCTGGGGCCGTCTTGGAACGTCGGGAAGCCAAACAGGCGAGAACGCGAAAAACCATCGAAAACATATGGAAAACAAATGAATCTTGACTCTTGGGGCTCTCCTGGGGAGCTTCTTGGAGGCCTCCTGGACCGTCTTGGGGGCTCCCTGGGCCGCTTGGGCCCATCTTTCGGCGACTCGAGGCCGTCTTGGACTATCTCGTGGACCACCTTGGGGCCGTCTGTGCCTCAATTTCGAGGTTGCGAACTCCAGTATTGGACTTTCGTTTGGCCTGTCCTCCTTCCTCCCCCTCCTCCTCCTCCGTTTCCTTCTCCGCGGCGCTCCTCCTCCACATCCTCCTTTGCCTTATGATTGCTCTTCGTGCTCCTCCGCTCTCTCGTTTTTCTTCTCCTCCCCCTCCCCCTCTTCCCCCTCCACCGGGAGGAGGGGAGTCGCGGGTTGACATGGCGAGCGGGCAGAGGGAGTGTGGGGGCTGTCCACAAAAACAAGCGGCGGACAAAAATGACGGTGCGTATTGGAGGAGAGCTCAGCACGCGACCATGCGAGTGGCCAGGTGAACTCAGCACGTGTCCATGCGAGCCACCAGGAGCAGGGGGGACGCGGGTTCACATGGCGAGCGAGAAGTGGGAGTTGGAGGGCGCATGAGGCTCTTGAGGCTCCTGGAGCCCCTCGGGCATCGTCGCAGGTTGTGTCGGCGATGTGTCGGGCTGTAAGAGCTAGGAGTTGAGAAGTTGCAGCCTCGGGGGTCGTTTGCGGCCGTCGTGGGCCCTCCTGAAGGCTTCCTGGGGGGCTTTCTGGCAATCAGAGAGCTCGCTTGGGGTTGCCCTGCCAGAGTCGTCCAGAGGAAATGGTCGTCGAAGAACCGCTGTGCACTTTGGAGGTGAGCTCAGCACGCGGCCATGCGAGTCAGGAGGTGATTTCAGCACGTCTCCACGCGAGCCACAGCGAAGGGGGGGGCGCGGGTTGACAAGACGGGCGAGAGCATTGAGTTTGGGGGCTCTGGAGGCTCCCGGAGGCTCTCGGTTTACGACAGCTGTGCTGAGGACGTCTGCGGCGGTGGTGGAGCCTCCTGGGGGCACGAGGGCCCAGTTAGGGAACTCATGCACAGCAGTCCACAAAGGAAGGCGGCGGAATAATAGTGGGGCGTCTAGGAGGTGAGCTTAGCACGCGACCATGCGAGCCACGAAGTGAGCTCAGCACGTTTCCATGCGAGCCACTGGGAGGAGGGGTGTCGCGGGTGGACATGGCGAGCGGGCAGAGGGAGTGTGAGGGCTGTGCTCAAAAACAAGCGGCGGAAGAAATTATGATGCGTCTTGGAGGCGAGCTCAGCACGCTACCATGCGAGTCACGAGGTGACCTCAGCACGCTTCCATGCGAGCCACCGGGAGGAGGGGAGTCGCGAGTTGACATGGCGAGGGAGGAGTGGGAGTTAGAGGACTCTTGAGGCTCTGGAGGCTCCTGGGGGGAGCCAGGATTGGACAAGTTGCGTGAGCTCAGCACGTTTCCATGCGAGCCACAGCGAAGGGGGGGCGCGGGTTCACAGGATCGGCCGACTTGCGGTTTTCGGGGGCCGTATGCGGCCGTGTTGAGGCCTTCGGGGGATTTCCTGGGGAGCGATGTGGGGATCTGAAAGGTCGCTTGGGGTTCCTGTGCCAAACATGTTCAGAGAGAAAGGTGGCGGAAGAAACGACGGTGCGTCTTGGAGGTGAGCGCAACACGCGACCATGCGAGTCCGGAGGCGAGCTCAAAAAAGTACCCCCAGAATGCATCCCACATGCTCAAAAATGGTAGAAATATCGTCCCCAGTCTATTTGTTGACTATTTCCCAACCATCCTGTGATGTTGGGTCCTCGTTTTGAAGAGACGGTCCCCGCGTTCCTTTCCTCTTCTCCTCTCCTCCTCCTCCCCCTCCTCCCCCCCCCCATTCTTCCGCTTCACCCACCCAGCACAGCGTTTCGTGGCCCCAGAGGGAGCCCCACAGAAACCCCCAGACAACCCGCATGAGTCCGCCACCACCCAGCACAGCCCTTGCTCCCTGCGTTTCACCCGCCCAGTACAAGGCTTCGTGGCCCCATAGGGACTTCCACCGAAGGTCCCAGTGGCACCGCCCGCATGCGTCCGCCACCAGCCAACACGGCCCTTGCTCCCTGCGTTTCACCCACCCTGTACAAACGTTTCGTGGCCCCATATGGGGCTCTACCGAAGGTCCCAATGGCACCGCCCGCATGCGTCTGCCACCACCCATCGCAGCCCTTGCTCCCTGCGTTTCAACCACCCAATACAGCGCTTCGTGGCCCCATAGGGAGCTCCACCGAAGGTCCCACTGACACCGCCCGCATGCGTCCGCCACCCACCAACACACCCCTTGCTCCCTCCGTTTCACCCACCCAGTACAGCGCTTCGTGGCCCCATAACGGGGCTCCACCGAAGGTCCCAGTGGCACTGCCCGCAGGCGTCCGCCACCACCCAGTACAGCCATTGTTCCCTTCGTTACACCCCCCATGTACAACGTTTCGTGGCCCCATATGAGGGCCCCATCGAAGGTCCCAGTGGCACGGCCCGCATGCGTCCGCCACCACCCAGCAGATGCGTCCCCCACACCCATTTCGGCACATCCCTCACACGTTTCTTGGCCCCATAGGGAGCTCCACCGGAGCGCTCATTGTGACCGCTCGCATGCGCCCCCCACACCCAATTTGGCATTTTCACACACCCAGTGCAGCGCTTCGTGGCCCCATAGGGAGCTCCACCGAAGCCCCCAGTGGGACCGCCCGCATGAGCCCCCCACGCCCAATTTGGGATTTTCATCCACCCAGCACAGCGCTTCGTGACCCCATAGGCAGCTCCACCGAAGCCCCCAATGGTACCGACTGCGTGTGCCCCCAACACCCAATTTGGCACGTTCACTCACCCAGTACAACGCTTCGTGGCCCCATAGGGAGCCCCACCGAAACCCCAAGCGGGACCGCCCGCATGAGTGCGTCCCCCACACCCAACTTGGCACTGTCACCCACCAAGCACACCGCTTCGTGACCCCATAGGGAGCTCCACCGAAGCCCCCAGTGGGACAGCCCGCATGCGCCCTCCACGCCCAATTTTGCATCTTCAACCACCCAGTACAAGGCTTCGTGGCCCCATAGGGAGCTTCGCCGAAGCCCCCAGTGGTACCGCCCGCATGCGTCCCCCACATTCCATTTTGCATTTTCACCCACCCAGTACAACGCTTCGTGGCCCAATAGGGAGCCCCACCGAAGCCCCCAGTGGGACCGACCGCATGCGTCCCCCACGCCCCATTTGGCATTCTCACTGACCCAGCACAACGCTGCGTGGTCCCATGGGGAGCTCCACCGAACCCCCAGTGGGACCGCCTGCATGCGCCCCCCACACCGAATTTCGCATGTTCACCCACCCAATACAGGGTCTCGTTGCGCAATATGGACTCCCACCGAAACCCCCAGTGGGACCGCCAGCACGCGTCCCCCACACTCAATTTGGCACGTTCACCCACCCAGTGCAGCGCTTCGTGGCCCAATAGGGAGCCCCACCGAAGCCCCGAGTGGGACCGTCCGCATGCGTCTTGGCATTGTCACCCACCCACTACAGCGCTCCATGGCCCCAACGGGAACTCCACCGAAACCCCCAGTGGGACCGCCCGCGTGCGTCCACCATGCCCAATTTGGCATTTTCACCCGCCCAGAACAGCGCTTCGTGGCCCCATAGTGAACTCCACCGACGCCCTCAGTGGGACCGCCCGCATGCGTCCCCCATAGGGAGCTCCACCGAAACCTCCAGTGGGACCGCCCGCATGCGTCCCCCACACCCACTTTGGCATTTTCACTCACCCAATACAGCGCTTCGTGGCTCCATAGGGAGCCCCACCGAAGCCCCCAATGGGGCCGCCCGCATGCGCCCCCCACACCCAATTTGGCATTTCCACCCACACTTTACAACACTTCGCGGCCCCATGGGGAGCTCCACCGAAACTCCAAATGGGACCGCCCGCATGCGTCCCACATGCCCAATTTGGCATTTTCACCCACCCAGTACAACGCTTCGTGGCCTCATAGGGAGTTTCACCGACGGCCCCAGTGCTACCGCCCGCATGCGTCCCCCCCCCGCCCAGCGCAGCGCTTCGTGGCCCCATAGGGAGCTTCACCGAAGAAGATATTCACAATTGCGGTACCCACAACTTCACATGTTTGGGTCCTTCGCCAGGATACTTTCCAATACTATCTTCTGGGGAATCGACGTTTGATTGTGTCTGTGTGTATTCCCTGCCGATTAACCCTGACCCCATCTTTCTGCGCCCTGTCTCGAGCCGGATCGATCTGTGGGGGGCCGAAAATAAGGGCGGCAACGTCTAGCTCGAAAGAAATGGAGACGCCAGGATCTCCGGGCATTGTCTGGGAGCCTACCAAAAGACGTGCGCGGGGCATGAGAAAGGGCGGAAACGCCCTGCTCGAGCGAAATGGAGACGGCAGGATCTCCCGGCAGTGTTATAGAGAGCCCATCACAGGACGCTCGCGCCCGACAGCGTACACGAACACGGCACCCCAGTCCGCGAGACCAGCCTCGTGATACGCACGTTCCTGCGATGCGCGTTTGCGAAACCAATGTGGATTAATGTACGTGTGCGTCCTTCTGTCGCCACTGACATTGCCCCCCCCCCCCCCTGGTGATGGGCGTGTTTTCCACCACCACCATAAGTTGGAGGGCCCCCCCCTGGTGATGGGCGTGTTTTCCACCACCACCATAAGTTGGAGGGGGGGGGTCTTCCTCCTCCTCGGTCTCCTCCTCGTCCTCCTCCTCCTCCTCGTCCTCCTCCTCCTCCTCCTCCTCCTCTTCGTCCTCCTCGTCCTCGCCCTCCTCCTCCTTTCCCCCTCCAACATATGGTGGTGGTGGCGAAAAACAAACTCATCACCTGGAGCGCCGCCCGAGCCTTCCCCTGGCGCCGCAGTCCGGCGGCGGGGGTGCGCTCTGGCTGCTCCGCCGGCCCCTCCTCACGGCGCGCTCCACCACGATGCCTCCGCCCCCCTCGGCGCAGAAGACCTGGCCGCCCGGCTGTCTCTCCCCATGAGCCTGCCAGGCAATTACTTGCATGGCGTTGGCCGCAACCCCATCGCCCCTCCTCAAACGGATACTACCGTGCAAGTGCCTTTCGACTTGCGTGATTTCCGCACGTGCCAGTCGGTTGCGGCTTGCTTCAAACTCAGCCCCCCCCCCGTCCATGCAAGCAAACTTGCCAAGCCTCAAAACCCAGGCTCCGTCGCAACGAAGCTGTACACCAACGGGGCCCCAAACGCCGGCGAAGCCTTCATGAAAGACCTTGCCGCGCCCCCCGATCGCCCTGCCCCCTGTGACCCACGCCGGCGGCGAGGAGCCCTCGCCGCTGGCGCTCCTCGGAAGGGTCAAGGAGGCGTACGAGAGGGCTTCCTTGATGGAAGGAGGGCCTCCAAGGAACTCCATGCCTTTTCTGGAAAAGTGATCCGATTGGGAGGAAGGCGAAGCCTTTCGGATAATGGGCGATCTAGAGACGCAGATGCTCCGCTCATCAGGGACCAGAACAGCATGTGCTGGCATTGGTCTGCAGGTGGCCTTGCCCGGCTTAGTGGGCGCCTACTGTGCCGCCGGGTCGTCTCCTGGAGGTTCCTTCCTTGGTGGACTGGGGGTACACTCGTCCCCTTGATGCTGGGGTAAAGTATGGACCCACGTCGTGAGATAGCAAAACTTGGTATTGTCACGAACCCCGACCTTGGAGGACAAGTAGGCGTGATTTGCGAGACAGAGAAAAACGAAGTAGAGGATGCCTATAGGACGCATTCTGCTGGTTCCCGTGTTGTCCGTTTGACGCTGTGCCGCTTTGTCGAGGCGCCTCCAGCCGTCGTGGGGCCCTCTTAGGGCTGTCCTGAAGCCCTAGGAGGGCTCTTCTGGTGGCTTGCTGGAGACCTCCCCTCCTAGGGTGAGGTCAGGAAATTGCCATACGAGCTATGAAGTCTCGGGGCTGTCCGTTTGTCGCTGTGAGGCTTTGTCGAGGCACTTCCAGCAGTCGTGGAGTCGAGGGGCAGTCCTGGGGCCCTCTTGGGCGCTTCGGGGGGCTTCCTGGATGCGTGGTGAGGTCTTGAGGCTTGTTTGGGTCGTATTGGGGGCCCCTTGGGGCCTCCTCAGGTCCTTCAGCCGTCCTGGCACCCTCCTGAGAGAGTCCTGGGGCTGTCCGTTTGTCGCTCTGACGCTTTGTCGAGGCGCTTCCAGCAGCCCTGGGGTCTTGGGGCAGTCCTGGGGCCCTCTTGGGAGCTTCTGGGGGCTTCCTGGATGCGTGGTGAGGTCTTGAGGCATCTTGGGGTCTTCTTGGGGGTCCCTTGGGGTCTCATCACGTTCCCGTGTTGTCCGTTTGACGCTGTGAGGCTTTGTCGAGGAACCGCCAGCCGTCCTGGGGTTATCTTGAGGCAGTGCTGCACCCATCTTGGGCGCTTCTGGTGGCTTGCTGGAGGTCTCTGGAAGGTTCTTGGAGCCTCTTGGGGCCTCTTCAGGGGTTATTGAGAACTTCTTGTGAGCTTCTGGGGGCCTCTGGAGGGGTTATTGGGGCGAAGATCCCGAAACCTCGGATTTCGTCGGAGGTTGTGTCGGGAACGTTTCTGAAGAGAAGGTTGCCAAGAAAACGACGACACGTCTTGGTAGTGAGCTCAGCGCGGGACTAGGCGAGTTATGAGGTGAGCTCAGCACGTGTCCATGCGAGCCACATGTAAGGGAGGGGGTGAGCTCAGCTCTCGACCATGCGCGTCACGAGGTGAGCTCAGCACGTTTCCATGCGAGCCACAGGGAAGGGAGGGGGCGCGGTTGCATGTCACGGGCGAGAAACTTGAGTTTGGAGGATCTGGGGGCTCCTGGGGGCCGTCGGGTTTGGTTGGAGGTTGTGTCGGGGACGTGTCTGACTGTATGAGGACTGGATGGGGCAACTTGCGGCGGTCGGGGGCCACATGCGGCCGTATTGAAGCCTCCTGGAGGCTTCTTGTAGGACTTTCTGGCAATACGAAAAGTCGGTTGGGGTTTCTCTGCGACAGCTGTGTCCAGAGGAAAAGGCGGCCAGAAACAACAGCGGTGCGTCTTGGAGGTGAGCTCAGCACACGACCATGCGAGCCACGAAGTGAGCTCAGCACGTTTCCATGCGAGCCACCCGGAGGAGGGGGGTCGCGGGTTCACATGGCGAGCGGGCAGAGGGAGTGCGAGGGCTGTCCACAAAAATTGGCGGCGGAAAAAATGGTGGTGCGTCTTGGGGGCGAGCTCAGCACGTGACCATGCGAGTCATGAGGTGAGCTCAGCACGTTTCCATGCGAGCCACCGGGAGGAGCGGGGTCGCGGGTTCGGCCTCCGGGGGGCTTCCTGGGGGGCTATGTGGGGATCTGAAGGTGGCTTGGGGTTCCTGCGCCGAAGGTGTCCAGAGGGAAAGGTTGCGAAAGAGACGACGGTGCGTCTTGGAGGTGAGCTCAGCATGCGACCATGCGAGTCCGGAGGCGAGCTCAGCACGTTTCCATGCGAGCCCAGCAGAGGATGGCCAGTACGCAGATTACATGGGTTCCCCTGTTGGCCGTTTGCCGCTGTGTGGAGGCGCCTCCAGCCGTCCGGGGCCTCTGTTGGGGGAGTCCTGGGGCCCTCTTGGGTGCTTCTGGGGGCTTCCTGGAGGCCTCTTGAGGCTTCGTGGGGCTCCTTTGGGGCCTCGGGGGTGCCTCTCGCTCCGTTTGCCGCTGTGACGCTGTGTCGAGGCGCCTCCAGCCGTCCTGGGGCTCTGTTGGGGCAGTCCTGGGGCCCTCTTGGGCGCTCCTGAGGCCTTGGACGCTACGGGCTCTCCTGGAGGGCCTCTTGGAGGCCTCTCGTGGCGTCTTTGGGGCTCCCTGGGCCGTCGGGACGCCATCCTGGGTGTCTTGGGCCGCTCTTTCGGCGACTCGAGGCCTTCTTGGTCCATCTTGTGGATCATCTTGGGACCGTCCGTGCCTCCTGGAAGCGCGTCTGCAGTGAGCGGCCGTCTTTCGCCGACTTCCGCCGGCGTTCCGCCCGTGGCCGGGGCCATGTCCCGGGGGGTCCCCCCCCAGACCCCACAAGGGGGACACTAAACGGGAACCCCTCCGCCAGGTCTGGGAAAACGGCCTGAACATGGACATTTGGAGGTCCGCGCGGGCTTGTTGGACTGGCGCTAGACACCCTCCCCGGCGCAGCGCGCCAGGGGGCCCCAGAGAATCACAGAGATCAGGGCGCCCCTTCCAACATTTATGCATGTTTTGTGTGATTCGATTCTGGGAGGGCCACCCCCCCGCCCCGACAACTCCTTGCTACATGATTGGTTTGGCTTGGTAGTCACGCCGATCGGGCGTGGAGGAACAACCAGCCGGTGGCAGCGATAAGCGACGCAAGCCAGGGGCTCAGGAGGGGTGGCATTGGCTCAATAAGGACAGGCTGGTGCCCCTCGGATCCAATGGCCCGGATGCCTATCCACCGACCTCCTGCTTCTAGAAATTCTACGAGGAGGGGGAGGAGGAGGAGAAGGATGAGGAGGTGGAGGAGAAGGAGGAGGAGGAGGAGGAGGAGGAGGAGGAGAGGAGGGGGAGGAGGTGGAGGAGAAGGAGGAGGAGGAGGAGGAGGAGAGGAGGGAGGAGGACGAAGGCGGGCAGGAGAGGAGGCCGAGGAGGCAGGAGGAGGAGGAGGAGGAGGAGGGGATGAGGAGAGGAGAAGGAGGGGGAGGAAGGAGGGAGGAGGAGGTCGGGGGAGGGGGGGTAGGAGGAGTATGAGGTGAGGAGAGGAGGAGGAGGAGGAGGAGGAGGAGGCAGTAAGGGTGAGGGAGAGGGCTGGAAGGACTATGAGGGGGGAGGCGAGAGACGGCTGAAGTGAGAAGGAAAAGGATGATGAAGGGAGCTGCCTTCGAGAAAGCAGCGAGGAGGCGGCTGCGCAGAGGAATCAATCACGTAAAATGTGCCGAGGGGTTCTGCAACCCTCGGCCGCCTCATGTTCCTCCGCTGCTTTCCTGCCCTCGCTCTGCCCACCTCCTCCTCCTCCTCCTCCCCCTCCTCCCTCCTCCTCCTCCTCCCTCCCGCCCTCCCTCTTTCCCTCCCCCCTCCCTCCTTCTCCCTCCTCCTCCTCCTCCTCCTCCTCCTCCTCCTCCTCCCGGCGCGAAGCTGGGCGCACCGGAAGCCTCCCCGAGGAGCAGGCCGTGCGGTGAGGGGCGGCCGCCTCCGCCCGTGGGCGCACGGCCTCGGCGGCGGCCTGTGGCAGAGTGCCCCTGCCGCGGGGCCGGGAGCGGGGAGGACTGCACAGGGAAGCTGGGACTTTGGGAGGTTGAGACTGACGGCGCGCACAGGGGGGGGTAGAGGGAGGGGGGTGGGCTTCTTAGAGGGCGGCTGCCTCTCAGAGGGCGCTGGCCGCCCTTCTGAGGAGCCAGGGGCAAGCCGCCTCTCAGAAGCACCCCTGCCGCTTCTTAGAAGCACAGAAGTGCTCCCTAGAAGCAAAAGCAGCTTCTTAGAAGCAAGCCACCTGCTTCTTAGAAGCACGCCGCGCCCGCGCCTTCTAAGAAGGGAGGGTGCTTCTAAGAAGCCTTCCTCCCTCCTCCTATCCCTCCCTGCGCGTGACTGGTGAAAATCAGTGGATGGAAGTGGGAGGGGCCAGGGCCGAACAAAAATTGGCAGTGGGTGAAGCGAGCCCGAAACACAGCGACGCGGTCGCCTCGGCTGGACAAAAAGAATAAGGGAAACCGGCCAGGGCTGGAAAGGGTGGAAGGGCTGGCCCCGGTCGCTTCTTCCAGTTTCCATGCAGAGAGAGTACACGAGGCAGTCGAGGAAACCAAGGCGGGAGATCCCCTGTCCTTCTCCTCATGGTCCTCATCCTCTTCTCCTCCTCCTCCTCCTCCTCCTCCTCCTGCTCCTGCTCCTCCTCCTCCTCCTGCTCCTCCTCATGCTCCTCCTGGTCCCCCTCCTCCTCCTCCTCCTCCACCTCCTCCTGCTGCTCCTCCTCCTCCTCCTCTCCGCCCTCTCCTCCTATGCTGCTCCCGGCAACCTTCAGGGTCGTCTCGGCCATGGCCCTGGGCGCCTCCCTGACGTCCGCGGGCAGGCTGCGGATCGCGATGGCGTGCGCGTGCTGCCGTGGCAGCGAGGGCAACGCCGGGCGTCCGCGGGGGGTGCCTGCGGCGACGGCCAGCGCGTCCGCTCGGGCGATGCACGGGCACCTGCCAAGGCCGCGCTGACGGCGATGTTGGTTAACTGCGATGTTGGACATCTGTTATTCTTGTTGTGACACCGAGCTCGCGCAGAACACATTGGCTAGGATCTCACGACGCACGCTTTCCTACAATTGCAGATGTGCGAATGTGTCGTGCGAGTGCGACGCAGGGAATTGCAGGACAGCGCGAACCACTGCGTCCTACAATTGCTCTGGCCACGAACCACAGCCCCACCTGCAATGCCGAGGCCTCCATCGCCGTGACCTACACTGCTTGGTTGCGCGTCTGCGGACCTGGGCGACGAAGAGAGGCGAGCCTCACGCAAGAAGGCGTGGGGCCCCTACGCCGCGGCGGGCGCGGGCCGCCCGTGCGGCACACCGCCTGGAGCTCTGGGGCGCTCGCGCGCGCGACCCCGCGCGGGAAACATTGCGCGCGGATGTCGGCGCAGTCGATCCCGCTCTCTTCCGTCGCTCACCTTTGGACGCCCGTAGTGCTAGGTCGGGCACGTCCTCCTGCAGGCAGATTCGGGACGAACGATTTAAACAAAGACCCCACGAATGCTCGAAAATCGTCCAACAAACGTCCCGAGACTATTGTTTGCCTATTGTTGAAGATTCCCCCCTGTAGTGGCCCAACAGCAAACGCTGTGCCCAAGCCAGCAGCGACCGCTGCTGGGCAGGCGGCCTCCTGTCTGACTGTCTCCAGTGGGCACAGGCCGCAGCGACGCCATCGGCGAGCCCTGCTCGCAATAAACGAACAGCGCTGCCCGTCTTCCAACAGTTCCGATGTCGTGATTTTTGTCCATGCGGGGTCCCCAGAAGTCGCGACCCGTGGAGGAGGGGGAGGAGGAGGGGGAGAAGAGGAGGAGGAGGAGGAGGAGGAGGAGGAGGAGGAGGAGAAGGAGGAGGAGGAGGAGAAGAAGGAGGGAGAGCAGGAGGAGGAGGAGGAGGAGGTGGAGGAGGAGGAGGATTAGCGAGGAGGAGGAAACAGATGAGGAGAAGGAGGAGGGAAACGACGACGACGTTCCCCAGGACCGGATCTTCGTCCTGGGTCGTTTCTTGACGGCCCCGAGGCTCGGGAAGGGCTTCCCTGGAGGCCGAGATCTGCGAAACACCCCCGTCATGCCTTTTGTCCGATGCGCTGGACCTCTGCGGGGCACCCCTCACCTGTCCCGATGCATGGGATTTCCGATGCGTCCGATCGTCCGGATCACCTGTCGCCCATGCGGCCGCGGCACCGCCTGCACCGGCGGCTCCGCGGCCCCTGGGCAGGCGCGTCGGGCTCGGCCTCGTCGTGGCGCCCTCGGGGAGGAGGAGGATGGGAGAGGAGGAGGAGGAGAGAGGAGAGAGGAGGAGGAGGAGGAGGAGGAGGAGGAGGAGGAGGAGGAGGGGAGGAGGAGGAGAGGGCAGGAGAAGAGAGGAGGAGGAGAGAGGAGGGAGAGAGAGAGAGGAAAGAGGAGGAGGAGGGGGGAGGGGGAAGAGGAGGAGGGAGGAAGGGACCTTTGAGGAGGAGGAGGAAGGAGAGGAGGAGGAGGAGGAGGGAGGAGGAGGAGGAGGAGGAGGAGGAGGAGGGAGAAATAGGAGGAGGAGGAGGAGGTGGAGGAGGGAAGGAGGAGGAGGAGGAAGGAAAGAGAAGAGGAGGAGGAGGGAAAAAGAAGGAGGAGGGAGGAGGGAAAGGGGAGGAGGAGGAGGAGGAGGAGGGAGAGGAGGAGGACGAGGAGGAGGACGAAAGGAGGAGGAGGAGGAGGAGGAGGAGGAGGAGGAGGAGGAGGAGCGGGTGACCCCCCCCCCGTGGGCGCTGCCCGACGTGTCCTGTGGCGCCTGGGCCCAGGGCCGGAGCGGCCGGGGCTGCAGGGCACGGCGGGGGCCTCGCGCCCAGCTCCTCGGGGGGTGGCGCTGCTGCCCAACCCATGGAAGAAATCACGGCGGAGGTTTCGTCGCCATTTTCGGACTCTGCCCTACCCGCTCCTCCCCTCCTCTGGCCTCGTCCCTCCTCGGAGGTTTTTCGCAATTTTCGGCCTCTGGGGGCCCTTCCCAGGCCTCGGGACCGTCAACCAAACGACTCAGGACGAACAACCGGCCCTGGGGACTGGGTCGGGACTTCCCGGGACCCCGCATTGAAAAAGTCACGGCATCGGATCTCTGGGTTTCGAGTCGGGGATCGACTGCAGAACTGATTTGGGTAACCAAATAATAGAAGTCAAAACAGATCCCCTCCCCATAATAATCACCCCGACAGGCGAAGCCGTTTCAGAAAGGCACCCAGTGAAGGAATCGAACAGGGCAGGACTGTTTAGTAAACGCCAATGTCCGTTCAGTAAACACCAACTATCCAGGTCTAGGTGGTTTGTCCTCCCTTGGAATAAAGGACCCGGACCCATTGGGAGGGAGGGGACCTAAGTGAGGGCAAAGCACATTAGGGATAGGGGGTCTAGTCTGCAGATGTATCAAGCCAAATCGCCGAGAATTGAGCGACGATCAAAAACTAATTAGCGACCGCACGCAGAGGCTTACGCGGACCGCCGGCGCGGCACGCAGCGTTTGAAGCGAGGGCGCTTGTGCGCGAGCTTAGGCGGCCAGCTCACGCGCCAATGTCAGCGCAGACGACACCGTTTTTCTTTCGTCGCTCAGTTGCTATCCCTAATACCGAGACGGGGACCTAGGTGAGACCACGTCTTCAAAATGTTGCTAGGGCTATATGGGGTCTTTTTTATCCTCGATGATGATATCCCCGACAGACGTTGTCTTGTCGAGTGTGCTAAGAATGCGCAGATTGCTTGTAGATCTACGGAGCAGTCTTCGTATTTTCGCAGATTCGGCGAGTAAACCAAGCTTGGACGACATCAATTCACTTGTTTAGTCGATCCCCTCCTCGATGCTTGGGTGGGCGAAGAGACGCACACCTGTCGTTCCTCTGACGGTCCCCAGGGGGGCCCCTGAGGTGCACGAGAAGCTCACCTCTATTGCCCCCCCCCCATTTCTCGCCCCCCCTTTCATACGCAAAACCCAGGCTCCCACTCGTCCTCCGTGTCCGGGAAGGAGCGCCCCTCACCGCCGTCCGTGTCGCGGCTCGACGACTCCTCCGCGCCGCGGCTGTCCGGCACGTCGGTCGTCCTGTCCTCGGTGTCGTCCTCGGTCTCGGAATACCAGCCGTCGTCGCTGCCGCTGCCGGCCGCGGCCTCGCCGAGTCTGCTCGGCGGGGCCCTGTCGAGCGCCGGCGGCATCGAGGAGCTCCGCGCGGTGGGCCGCGGGCTCCGCGCACGGTCCGCCAGGTCCTCGATGAAGGTGTTCCGCACGGTGACGGGCAGCGCGTCCGCTCGGAAGGCCCGCAGCGCAGCCATGGTGCCCCGCGCGCAGCAGGACTGGCCTGGCCGTGTGGCGGCGGACGTGTCCGTGGGGCCGCCGGCGCGGCGCTGCGTGAGGTTGTCAGGAGGCAGCCGCTGGGAGGCCTTCGTCGGGAGGACTTCAGGGAGAGATGCGCCGGACTCGGCCGCGGATGAAGCGGGATGGGGCCAAGCGGGGTGAAGCCGGCTCACGGGGAGTTGCAGTCAACCAGGATGGTGAGGATGAGCGATAAGGATGCAAGGGCCTTGGAAGGCCGCGTCGAAGCTTTTCGAGCGGGGCGCGGCCAACGAAAGTGGCCAAGAATGGACCGAGGAGGCAGGGACGCAAGGGCACCCTTGGGAAAGTTGCCCATCCTTGCTATGCGGATTGACTGTAAACCAGATTGAGCGGCATTGAGCCAGATTTCGGAGTAGGGCAGAGTCAGAATTGGACCTCCCAGGAGTTGCATCCGAAGATATGTAAGGCCGCTGGCGCGGCGATGCGTGAGATAGTATTGAAGAGATAAAGTAACTCGACTGCCACCCGCTGCCGCAGGCGGCACAGAAGGTGATGTTTCTGCGCGTACTGTCGGGCTACGCTTGCGCCGAACTGGCTGAGGAGGAACACGAGCAAGATGAGCAGGACGAGACAAGTGATCAAATACGAAAGACCATGATGATAAGTGGGCAGCAACAGGGGACCTTCGAGTCGGCGGCCCTAGTTCTTGAAGTGGCCATTCGCTTGTACCATGGAGCGCCCGCGCCAAAGATCGCACCGACGGGTGCTTTTCCGAAGGGGGGGAAGGGAAAGAAAAGGACGCAGGAGTGCAACGGACAGAACCACCCGACACAGATCGCGCAGATCGTGTGGCTGAACCCAGCACAGAGAACGAACTTCACGGAATGCCAACACATCCAGGCCGACCGTGGCCAAGGGATTCGAAACGTACTGCGGGCTGCCTGTGGTTGGGTTCCTGGGCCCCCAGTGGCCTCTGAAGCATACCCCCACAGCACCCGAGTAAATCTAGCGCATGGGCAACGACGCATCACGAGCGTCCCAACCCTCCGACATCCAGGCATTCTCCATACGTGGCCCCCACACCTATCAACCCGTTCCTGAAGGCTGCTTGTCATCCTCGTTAATATGGTGGATGGTCCTGGACGCCAAACACAACGAAGCGCCTCAGTCTTTAGTGTTGTCTTCCAAAGCGTTGGAGGTATAGGAGCGTATGTCTGAACCCTTCCCAAGGCACCCCCCCACTCCAGATGCTTCGACGAAGAAGTGGTGGCAGATAGATCCAAAGAATACAGGTGTGATGGTCTCCAGGATAATCAAAAGGAGGACCGTGCCGCAAGAGATCCCCAAGGCTCAAAGACGCCTCCCCAGGAGAGCCTCAAGGCAGCCCCACAAGAGGCATCCGATAAGTTGAATGAGGGCCACGCGGCGGCGTCGCTTGGGGGCTGCTCGGCCTGATCCAAGCGTTGGGCTCCTCCTCCTCCTCCTCCTCCTCCTGCTCCCCCTCCTCATCCTCCTCCCCTTCCTCCTCCTCCTCCTCCTCCTCCTCCTCCTCCTCCTCCCCAGAAAGCTCATAGACCTGTTCAGCTAAAATTGGTTGACAACGGATATGACATACAACACTACGTATACCCGGTCACACAGAAGCTGCCTTCGGTGGTCCCGCCTGGCCCAATGACACGCCCAGTTGATTGGACTGTGCACGCTGCTCTCGCTAACCATGCAGTTGCTCTTGCTCACGATGATACAGCTGACCCAGCAGATGTGTGGGCTCTCACCACACGAATTTACGGTAAGTTGGCGGTGGCAGTGACAGAGTATGTTGCAGCTAACACTGGGGTAGAGTTAAAGCAGGGGGCGTTTGGACGAAATTTGCAGCCGATATGGGTCAACGCCACTTGCCCGACCAACGTTGAGAGTGATATGCAGTGTATTGCGCAAGGATGGCTGTGGCTCCAGGAGGCGCTGATATCCATGTTACAGTCTTACCCGAAAGATGAAATGCTGGTGCAGCGTTCGGAGGAGATTTCTAATTTCATGGTCTCAGCATATTCTGGTCAGGGCCTCAGTGGCAGGCTTGACGCGACAGTCAAGCAGGCCAAGTGTGAGGTCAATACTATACCGATGGACACTGAGAGGCTGCAGACTTTCTTGGACGAGATCCGATGACGTTACGCTCGCAGCCAAGAACCAGGAAAGGGATTCGAATGACAGTTGGGCAGGGTGGTGCAAGATGGCAGGCAACGGAGGGGCACGTGCGCTACACAGGACGACTCGTGTCAGATCGATCCCCGCCCCAGCGGTGGCGCTCGGGATCCAGTCTGGCGACCCCAGTATCATAGTCCAGCAGGAAGTGGAGCTATACCGACGGTTGTGGCATGCCACAGACAAGGCTCCAGAGGCGCGGATTTCTGACAGGACTTCATGCCCGAGACTTTCGCCAGATGAGATCCGCAGCACGGCGAGGAGTTTCCTTGCTGGTACTGCGGCCTCTTTCGACAACTGCCACCCGCAGCACGTCACGATGATTGACGACGATGAATTGGAAGATTTGGCGTCCATATTCCAGGCCTCAGAATGTATAGGAGTTCTTCCACGTCAGATCTGTTGGGTTCAGATGCCGATGCTGGGCACACCTAGCGGAGGCAACAGGCTGATAGTTCTTTACGCTGGAACCTACAGGGTATGGCAGCGAGCTCGCCGCTTTTTTCATCAAGGTCATGCACGATGCCTTGGATCGGAAATACTGGGGAGCCAGCGAAGGCAGGTCTGCCATTGACTGTGCATGGGTGCTCGCGGCCAGGACTGAGTCTGACCAGATTTCTTATAGGCACGGCGTCGCCACTGTCGTCGGCTACTCCACATACTAGGAGTCGATCCGGTTGCTGGCCCTTAGGTGTAAGATCCTTCGGCACGGCGCGCCGACCTGCTGGCTGCAACGGGTGACGAACATGTGGGCGAGCCCGGGGGTCATCCGCCTAGGGTGGCACCACGCCAAGGAGGTGCCCTTCGCCAAGTTCGGGTTGCCAGCGGGCGACGCCTGCAGCGACATAGGCATCAGAGTCCATGCAGTCGACCAGTACGACAGGTTGATGCTAAAAGTTCCCACGATAGATTTTCAGAACTACATGGCCAAGGGAGTTGCTGTCGAAGCCGCCAGGGAGTTCATGGCAGCCAGTCAAAGGCTCAATGCTGGCTTGAACCAAGAAAAGATTGCCATCCTGGCTACGTCCGACTCTCTGGCCCATGCTGGGTGCGACGAGCTCGGCTTCTCCAGGAGCGTCTGCAAGTCGTCCGGCTCCTACCTCAGAGTTGACGAAGCTGCTGGACGACAACGACGAGAGAAACAGGCCCGAGTGAGGTAAAAGAAACGTCTCACCGATATGATGAAACGAATTCGCAAGACCCGAGCCCTCCGTAAGCGTCTTAAGGGCCCCAAGACCCCCTTCCAGAAAGTTTACAAACAAGGGATCGCTCCCGCTGGCAGTTTTGAGGTTGAGGTCCTGGGGCTCAGTGCTGCGGAGTGGCTCAGCCACAAAAGATTAGCAGCTAAGTGTGATACCCCGTCCCATGCAGGTGTTTCCCTGTCCGCCAAGGCCGTCTTAAACGGAGATAATGAATAGCACTAGGCTTGCCCTGGCGCGCGCAATCCAGTGGTGTAGAATGTGCTGGAATGCTGCGACTCGCCCAGAGCTCTCTCTTATCAGTAGGCCTGAACTTCTGAGGCTCTAGGAGCTCTCGGGGCCGTCTGAGCGTACCCATTGGCGACAATTCTGCCAGAGGCCCCCTTGCTAGAGCCGTGCGGTGTCTCGGCCGTGCTGGTTGGCGAGCGGAGGGACCTTTGAGATGGATCGACCATACAGTCAAAACGTATATTAAGGACGGTTAATAAGGACGCAAGACCCTTGGAGGCCGAAGTTGGGTTTTTTTAGGGCGGCGGGCGACCAGTGATAATGGCGAGGACGAGCCTCAGAGGCAAGGACACAAGGGTGCCCTAGATGAAGGCGCGCGTCCTTACTAGGCGCGTTGACTGCAATGAGAAACACATAGACATTGCCTTGACTCCACCGGCGCAGCTTGCCGATATGTTAGAGCTCAGAGTCCAAAGGCAGAGAGAGCTAAGGCTCGCTCAGAAGCCAGGCTTCCCACCAGGAGCGCGAGCGACTTTAGACCGGATTCGAGACCGAGTCGGGACTAAGGCCCGCAAGTTCTCCAACTATCAGAAATACTTAATCGAGAGTGCTGCCTGCCAAAGATTGTGGACCAGTGATCGTGCCGAGAGGGCGGGGTACTTGTGTGACGGGCTTTGTGCTCGTGGGGAAAGGGACACAATCCATCACATGCTGTACCTATGCCAGCTAGAAGATGTAGTTGCAGCCCGTCTAAAAGCCGAGGTTCCCCCCCGAAGTCCTGGACATCGCCAGGGACAGTCCCCAGGAGCCCATCTTTACCAGCGGAGTTTTCACGTATCAAGACAATGAGTTGCCAAGCCCTTCCGTGTCGACGGAATGCGAGGTGTTCGATGGCAGTGGCACCCCACTGGACATGAAACCTAATCAGATCGCATCTCTCACTGCTGCTGTGCCTCTTCGACTAGCCTTAGACGGATCTTGTAGCAAGCAATTGCTGCGACCACTGCGCAGAGCCTCCTGGGCGATCGCAGTGTGCCCAGATGCTGGAGATGAGCCCGTCGCTGTTATGCGCGGGATAGTCCCAGGCCAGCTTCCCCAGACTCCAGCGATGGCTGAACACGTTGCCATCGCTCTTTGTGGTCAAGTGGCGACACAAGAGGCTCAGCTCGCATCCGATTGTCTAGCGGCGGTCAGAGTCTGTCAGCAGCAGGTTTCACGTCAGATCAGTGTTTCTAATGAGTTTGCTGGCGTCAGACAATTCGCCCTCCAGCTGGAGGGGACGCCATTCATACAGTCATTCCAGCATGTCAACGCGCACCGCTCCGAAGGGGTCCTCCACGATTTGGAGGGCACTGAAAGGATATATGCACATGCGAACTCGGTTGTGGATAAGCAGGCGAAAGTTGCCCTAGATACCCACCCGAGCCCTTCGCCCTAGTGTTTAGCTGATTTGGATCTGACCGGCCCAAAGGGCCTTCTGGTTCCTGAAAGTTGCCGTCGAGGTCCTGCCCCTTTTTCAGAACGATGTGCGGTGGAAAAGGCCACCCAAGACCTTTGCCACTAGGTCTCGGCGTTCTGTATCTTGGCACGAATGGCAGCTCGGTGAGTTCGGCGTACAGTGCAGATTTTGCCTGGCTTTGGCTGAAGGCCCACGCGAGCAGCTGCACATGAACGGCTGCCCAGGCGTGCCGAAGGTGATTGCGAAACTGCTCTCTGATCCCGGGGGACATAGCCTCGTCGCCTGGGCTGGATCGACGGCTCGAGACGCTGTGGTGGTCTCCTCGTCGTCGTCGTGTCTTCCTGCGTCCCGAGAGCAAAATATCGTTTGTTTGAATTGTGGAGGGTGGTCCCAAGGACGAGCTCGAAAGCTGGGCCGCAGTTGCGAGGCGCCGACGAGAAAGGGTCTCGAGGTCCGTCAGGGCAAGTGCCCAAACCGTCTTGTGCAGGCGCTTCTTGATAAGACTGCCT